AAAATCTTAATATGTAATTTTACCACCACAAACTAAATTTTGTTTGATATTTTATTGTATGTATAACTAAATTCAGATACATGTATGCTGTTATACCAAACCAAAATTTGACATCCAAGAAAGTCATTTATACTGCATGGTTACATGCTTGGAAAACATTGATAAGTTATAAATTTGGTGCAGCCAGTTTGAAGAGGAAATTCTGAACTAACATTCTTCCTCGGGGTGGCGAGATCATCTCTTCCCAACTGCAGGAAGAGCGATATTGTGAAATACATTTTGTTATGCGTAAAAGCAATTGTGAATCCATTTTCTCAGTAAACTGACTTACATTAAGCTGGTTTAAATATCTGCATGACTGGACAACTGTGTTAATGGAAGTCTCGCTAATATTTGAGCAGCCTATCAAATCCAAATAAACCAAATTAGGACAATTCATGGCAATAGCAAGCATTGAGGTGCTGGTGATCTGGGCACAGGACTGTGACCCTCTGAATGAAGCGTCAAGATACTGCAACTCGCGGCAGTTCTGTGCAAGACTGCTAACACCTGCGTCAGTGATTCTATGGCAGCCAGCAATGCTAAGATAGGTTAACCTCGGACAGCTCTTGCTTATTACTTTCAAAGTTCTATCTGTGATTTTGGTGCAGTAAGACAGATCAACATGGCAAAGACCAAGGAGTGTGTTTTTATCTGACTTAAAATCCAAGTCATTTACATAAGAGCAAACTTGCATGTCTAGGTATTCAAGCTTGATGCAGTTTTGCACAATGTCATTGATACTGTCTCTTGTTATACGCAGGCATTCTGACATCTCTAAGCTCTTCAGATCGTTGCAAAATGTTGCTACTAGTTTAACAGACACATCCGAAATTCCCAGGCAACCACAGATGTTTAAATGTGTCAATTTAACACAGTTTGTTGCAATAGCAGAAATCCCTAAATCTGTGACTCCCTGGCAAGATTTAACATTTAACTGGCATAAATCAAAACACTTTTCAGCAATTCTTTGCACTGCGACGTCAGTTATGTTCCCTGCAGGTCTTGGCAACTCACAGCCACATACATTCAAGCACTGAAGCATGTTGCAGTGTCCTGCAATGGCTTCTATTGACACATCGGTAATACAAGGGCAGCCTTTTGCAATAAGCTGCACTAGGTTTGGACAAACCTGGGCAACAACCGAAATACCTGCATCATCTATACCAGGACAATAAGAGACGTCTAAAACTTGTAGCTTAGGAGAAGTGTAAGACAAATGACATAACACATCATTGTTCAGTTCCATACAGCCAGGCAGTCCTAAGCTGAGTAAATTAAATGTGCAGGGTCTAGACAAGTCTATTTCTTCTCCACTGATTCCTGCATTGATTAAATGCACCCTTTTCAAGCTTTTGCTCGTCTGTATGGAGTCCAAAAAATTGTTGGTTAAGTAGAAGGATGTATCATTGACTTCTTCGTCACATTCACGAGATACACAAACAACGATCAGTTCTTGAAGTGCTTTGCAAGTTCTGATTAAATCCTTTAAAGCGTTGGAAGATACATTCGCTTTGTATGCCGTGATGCTCAAGTACTTGAGCAGGCTGCAATTCCTTGAGATGACTTCCAACCCACAATCGCTCAACAAGTTACAGCCTGATAATTCAAGGACTTCCAAATTGGGGCACTTTTTGGTAACAACCTCCACACATTCATCATTCACCCGAGCACAGTTCGAGAGATTGACATCCTTCACGTTACTACACCAGGACAACATGCGCCTCATCACGTCAAGAGACAACTCGTCACAGTTCGGAAAATGTATCTTCCTCCACAAGCTGCAATCTTCTGACAGACGGCACCATCTCTTGCAAACAAGACGTAGTCTAAACAAGTTAAAAATACGCTGCCTGGCTACAAAAGAAAATATCTTAAGGACAATAGTCTCTGGCAAGTCTTGGACATGAATGTCAGTTTCCATCACGTTAAAATAGTCGTTTTAAACGGTTGGTGTACTTGGCATATTAATGTCCGCCATTTTGTTTCGCAAAAACAAGAAAGGCCTGGAACTGAAATTAGGTCCCAGTTCTCCACTAAATATTACGAACGTGTGGTTTGTAGAACACTGGGTGAAAGCTTACTTCGTAGCCAAGACAAATAGTAAATATTGCGAGTTACTATTGGCTCAGCCATGAGACCAGAAACGCCAAACAATAGTTTTACCTTTGATAGAACCAGTTTTAATTTGCTGAACTTCAGTCGCGAAGAAAATTAAAAAAAAAAAAAAATTCGTCTCCCTGAGCTTTCCTAAAACAGCCAGGTGATTGAGAGGGCCTATTAAATAAAAATATGGTAAACTGAACCAAGATGAAAAGTGGAATTCTCATTGGCTATCTAAGCTAAGCGGTCCGAATTTCGCAAAACAGACCGCTAAGGTGGACCTCTCACGAATTGGTATCGGCCAATTGCTTTTTCAAAACACTGCACTAAAATGAAAATAGTCCAGTTGTTACGTGTAGAAACCTTTTTCCCGTTCAAATTTGTTGCAAAATATGGATTTAACTTGCACGAAAGTGACCTAAAAAAACGTCGATAATGCTTAATTTTTAACAAAACAACAGCAACAACAACAATAACAACCGTGAACATCGCCAAAAACAAAATCGGCTTACAGTTACAACTAGTGTCAGACAAGCCGAAAGATCGGAGACTTTCTGAAACCCAGGGAACAGGAAACGAAAAATCGTCAGCGAACAATGCGTTGTGTACCATTTTAAATGTGGTCTCGGTGTGATATGGACTATATGTTGGATACACGAACTGAACCTTACATCGATCAACGTATCGCTGAACACAGACTGACCCTGAATTTGTCAATTAGAAAGTACATGTTTAACACGCACAGGATCTCAAAAATGGTTTTAATTAACAAATTTTCAGTATTGAAAAAATGCCGCAACTAATTCGATTGTCTTATCTGCGAAATGTTAGTTAGTCAAGACCTCAAACCAACTCTAAACGTGCAAACTGACTCTATCCGCGCGAAACTATATATATACGTGAGATAACAAGCAAATGCCTAGTATTCTAGTTCCACTAATTTATATTCACACCGTGATGAAACTGTCATTTTTACCTTGATAAAAACGTCCGACAACGTACCATAATTTTATTATCTCTGTTGAAGCTTTTCAGTAAACTACTAATCAAACAATTATCTACTGAACAATTTCTGCGGGTCATGCAAACAGTCTGAAATATATCAGTTTCCAAAAGTGACACGAGATCGATTCACGCAGCCATAATTCCAGTGAGTTTCTCCGGCATACAAATTAATCTGAAGAATCTACTACTACTAGAATCTAAAGTTTTGACTTGAAAAAGTGAATAGCGTGTTTTGTACAGACCGCATGTCGAATTCTCATGCAAATGTTTCGTTTCCAGTTATATTCGCCCTTCTTTCAAAATCACGGAAAAGAACTTTCACAAATTATTTAAGTTGGCTACCGTCGCGAGGAGATTTTTATTTCCTCGCGCAGGGACACGTGGAGTAGCGCGTGCGCGTTTTTATCGCGCGTTGATCAACGTTTTGTGATTCCCGTAGCCAGCTGTCAATTCGAAAGCATCTAAGGTGTTTGCTAAAAAAATAATGTTCTCTTTTGTGCAAACAAGTATAATACAAGATTTAGACAATAGAATTTTGTAATGTCTTCATCACACATGCTTTGTGTTTTCTCAAATTTATTCATCGTTTAGTCAGGATTTAAGAGAATTTAATCCAAACAAAAGTAGAAACTATCAAAAACCTTTAAACGCAGCGGCTGGCGGAAAAATATTTCGTTTAAAGGAGTATATGAAGATAAACGAGTTTTTAATGTTGTATACTCCACAGTGACATATCACGAATTTTACAAGCGATTAACAAAACAAACAACTGTGAACTATTATAATTATGTGGTCACCTATAGATGTGGAAGGTATAATTAACTCTAACAGAATTAGAACGCTATGGCGGTTGTTTTAATTACATCTTTAGTGACGTAGATTTCTTAAGTAAACCAATTTGCATCACAACGAATTAGTTGCCGGTTTTTTGACAATTCGCTTGACAGCGTTTTTCGACAAACTGTTCACTTGGCTTAAGATGCTTGTTGCATTTCTGCGAAGTTAAATCGGCGAACATGTAGGTTCGTACAGGTTTGGGATGGGTTGTAGCGGGTCCGCCCCTATTCAAGAATTCAACGCTGAAGAAAATGAAGCGGGAAACCTCTCAAAAGAAAACAGCGTGAAAGAAATCGCAGATCAACCGCGGCAGGAAAAAGCCGATGGGATCGAAACGACAGCAAATTCACTGCAGGACACGAATCCAACAGAAGGAAATCAACTAGGGCCAGACAAGGAAATAAACAACCTCAAGCGATCGAGACCGAAACGGGACAGGGAACAAATTATCGATAACGCCTGGAGTATATCGAAAGTTAAGAAAAATGTGAAAAACCTTGAAAGTTCGCAATCAAGACCTAAGCCAGAAGGACTAGTTGATTTGGAGAGCGAATATGGAAAAGACGGTGTTGACTTGGCTTCAAGTCACGTCTACGGAGACCATCAAGATAAAGAGAAATTGATAAACCACTCGTTGGGCGCCCGTATGTCCCCCGATGGAACTTATTCTGTTGATAACAGTGAACGAATGAGCAAGCGACGGAGTTTTCACAAGGTAAACACCATGCTGATAAACTAACAGCGATTCTTGTAACACTGTCGGTAGGTAAATAACAGGCTTATTTAACCCGTATGTAGATGCATATAATATATGGTTTTCCAGAGATCGCCTTGGGGCAGGCAAAATAATTTAAATTACATTTAAAATTCACATAAGGTTTTGTTTAAAATTTTATTATTTTTGTTTTGTTTTGCAGGAAGATACGGACGAGGTGTTCGACCCATCTGCTTTAATAGACATTGAGAAATTCAGAGCTGTAAATGCCCCTACAAAACAGGTGGGTTATTATAGAAATGTATTTACCTTAGTTGCTTTCTCTTAAGAAATTCACTGAACTGAACTTTTTCGGATTTTGTGAGCTCAAATGGGCGTAACTTGAATCTATATAACCTATATTTGTTTATCCCATTTTAACAATAATATTTTTTCTTGTATGAAAATTTGCGAGGCATATGGCGCTAGTAGCCTCGACATAACTAAATGATTAGCAGAAACTGTAACTTCTTGAATGTTATACATGTATTTGTTCAACAGTTGAACAGCGGTTTACTGAGAAACTTCAATAGAAATGATAAAACTACAGTTGTCCGACGTTTCGATGTTGCTAGCATCATTATCAAGGTAAAAATGACAGTTTTATCGCGGTGTGAATATAAATTAGTGGAACTAGTATAATAGCCGAGATATTGTTACCTTGGTAATGATGTAAGCAACATCGAAACGTCGGACAACAACAGTTGAACAGTTGATGGTATGCGTACAACTAAAATAACAGCGAAAAAACCCTGTTCTTCTGCATAGTTGGATTTGCTGTGGCATGGATAGCTTTAAAGAATGTTAAATCAATCTGCAACAATTCTTTAATTTCTTTCAGATATCAACTTCAAACAGCGATTCAGGTAAGAGTTTTCTCTATCGTTTGTACGTGCCGGCTATGAAATACCACCTGGCATGATCTTAAGCGAAATTTGCAACAACAAAAAAAAAAAAGAAAAAAAATTGGCTGCGATGGGCATCACTGATACATCGGGAAACGTTAAATTTGCAAATTCATGTTATCCTTCGTATACACAATGAATAAATTTAATCTCCGTTCATCAGCATTTGAAGCTATTACTATTTTGAAAAGTTTGCCTAAACGATTTCAGATATAAACAAACATGCAATATTATATCGCCACATCAGTTTAGGCTAAGATCATACATTAATTTAAAAAAACACTGTGATACTGAAAAAAAAAAAAACAGATCGAGATTTTAATAAAAGAAAAAGAAACAATTTTTCGTGTGTTACTTAAAATTCAATTATGAAGTAGGAACCATAGTCGATAGGAACTTAATGGAAATATAAATTAAAATATGTTTTTGAGTATACATTTCAACTGTGACGCATGCAACTTGATAAAGCTTTACTTTTCAATAGTTACTCTCAGTAGTATGCAGTAAAAGTTTTTTCATTTTTTTCCCCTTTTTTAGGTTAAAAATAACACGCCAGCTTGAATCGATAGTAAATGAACACAATGATTAAATATTGCTGCACAAAACAATCAAACAACCAAGAATAAACAACAACAAAATCTAATCAGGCACACTTTAAAAGAGGAAAGCAATGAAGTAACAGGCGGTACCTACACAGAACATGATTCGGATAAACTTTTCATCGGGTTGATATAAATTCGTTTGTCATTGTGTATCGATAATATTAGTGGCGGTGTGTCTTAGTGCAAAAGAAAATCTCCCTGCGAAAACGACATTTGGGAAAATGAAAGCTCTATCTGTGAAACAATGATGACAGTAAAGACATATATTCTAGGAGACAAATATTCTAGCAGAATTCAATCATGGTCCGCGTCACGGATGCCTTGCCTATGGGATAATCTGAAGCTGGCATGCAGCCACACTCTATTTGACGCTTGGCCGTGGGAGATCTGGGCTTGAGATTAGCTAACATGTATATATGTGTACGTAGAAGTGAGGTGTCGTGCGCAGAGACTTAGAAATAACCACTTGTGATATATAGTAAAAATTATAGAGGTAAAGAATGACATTTACAGGCACATGGTAAAAATTGCCTCCACTGTGAATTGTCATAGTGAGAGCAAGAAATATCCACCTCAAACGTTTGAGCCGGCTCTATGCTGCAAATGAAATGTACCCTAGAAAATACGCGAAATTTTTGTGTCATGAAATTTCTTACTTTTTTTGTTGTCTCAAGAAGAGAAAGCGGCTCTGGTTTAGAAAAAGGGAAACGATATACCGATGAGATTTTATTTTGGGTTTTCGGAATTCGATATTTATTTCGGTAAAAACTTAAAGAGATAGAGGAGTTTTGGGGTTAAACACTAATGGAATATGGGATATTTTGATCAGATAAAACGGGATATCACGCAGTATGAAAATAGTCAACTTTTGCAACTGAAAAAGACACAGGAAATCTAGGCCAAAACCTAACATCGGATGTGGGTTCTCACCCCTGATGGGGTCCTCACAAATCACCGTTCCGAATTCGCGAAGATCGAGAGTGGCGATATTAAAGATCTTTATTCCACAACCACGAAATTAAGTTGCCGTCGGCGAAAATTTCGTTTGATAATTTTAATGGTAAACTACTTTGCAAATGGTCTCATAGTAAGTTACAGTACATGCAAGGATTACGTACGCGCGTGTGATGTTGTTTCGATAAATTATGACATAAGGTGGTTTCATTTTCAGGAAAACCAAACGTCGGAACAGACAAAAACGACAATGAGCAAGAGGTCACAGCGGATACTATCGAGTAAGAAAAGAAAAACTGTGTAACTGAGTGTAGTGTTTTTCCACGTATGTAAACTTAGTTTAGGATTGAGTGAAAAATTATATTGCAGCTCCATATAATTTCAAAGCCGTAGCCAGCCGAGGTACCTGCCTCAGTCACTTGTTTGTTTTTCTCGCATTCGATTGGCTGAAACACGTCACGTGATGCAAGCATATCTGCAACAGTATAGGCACCTTAGAGTTTTTATACCGGATGTGTCCATATTATACATACAGAACGCTTCGAGCTCTTGTAAATCATCTGAATCTCAAAATAATTGAAACATTGAGTCAAGTGGATGTCTGAAATCTACATGTGTAACATTGGAGGGAATTGCTTACACGGCCCCCAAGAGTTCGAACTGAAATTAAAGGAACGTAAGCAAATAATCAATTGAGGGCCCGATATGTCGCATCTCTGACAAAGAATTTGGTTGATCAGCTTTTATTACTTCGATATCAATTTTCCCGATGTTTCTAAAACATGCGTAGCTTTCCGCTCAGTTTGTGTCATCTACGACGGATATCTTCACATCATTCCTTAGGCCCCGGCCGTCCACTCTAGGCCGAAGAAAGTTGAAAACGCAGCTTTATTTCCACGGCTTGGCCTACCGTCCACACTAATCCGTCACGAAAACGGAGCTTTTCGAAAACGCTCTTCAAACCGGAGGAATTTGAAAACGCCGGCTTTGCGTTTTAATGTGAACGGAAAACGTGCTGAAAACGGAGCTTTTCAAAAACGATTACGTCACCCTAACAATGTGATTTAGCTTGATTTCACTGCCCGAGTTTTCTCAAACACATATCGATATGATCCAAAATGACCGGTGATTGTTGCGTTTTCAGATTTCTCCAGCGTAGTGTGGATGGAAAACATTAAATGCCGTTTCAGAATGAAAACATTGTTTTCAAATATCTCCTGCCTAGTGTAAACGGGGCCTATTGAGTAAGAAACTCATTTCTGCTTTAGTCTTTTCAGTCTGAGTTTCTCCAATGCTCTTTTTTTTTAATTACTTACCTTTCACACAGACATAAAGAGGCCGAGATCGTCGTGATAAAGCCACCAAACTACAGCGAAATGTATGATGATGATGAAAAGCAATTAATTGCAAGCATCGAGAACGATTTCAAAAACATTTCACCTATCGCGCTTCCGGGATCTGTGATGTGACGTAACGCTATGTGCCAGACATACGGAGCCAGGTAATAACATACTTTTCAGAGAGGGCCTTGGAGCATCAGTTCTTCGATCACTCTCAGCCCGAAGTTTCTTCAGCTCCTCCAACCCTTGTTGCGAAGCCGAAGAAATTGTGGGCTCAAGATTGTGTCATGTTGTCTTTCATCTCTTCATGTAAATCGAAGACCTTTGGAAGGATCTGGCGTCGGGGGTGGGGCGCTTGGGGTGGGGCCTAAGTGGAGGGAATCTCATGTTGATTGGGCGTCCCGTTATAGGGTGAAAATCGCGAACTTTGGTCTCACTTGATCTCGAGTCCGTGTTCAGGATAGAACGTTAAAATGTATTTTTTTGTTTTGTTTTGTTTTCACCTATTAAGGTGTCTTTAGGAGTTGAAGGCGAGTTTCAGGTCTTAATTGAGCGTCAGTCACACCCAGTTGGGTCTCCTTTTACATGCTAGATTTATTGATGTAAAGTAAGTGTAAAGTAACGCTTTTACACTTTTTCTCACCTTTCTTCAACCCATGGGTTTCTTCTAATCATTTCAAGCGGGAATTGTCTGCTTTCGTTACCACTTCTAAGTAAATCCTTTAACTCGTATAAGTGTGCATTGGACGTATTAGCCCAATGAACATCTTTATATTTTTCAGCAGTGAAATCTACTGAGAGAAGCAGAGACAGAACCACTCGATGGGACTCGAAGATGCCACCATTGTCACAGACTAAATTTTAAGTTTGTTAATGAACAATCTTAATTTCAAGTTCTCGTATCAAGTCGTCAAGACAATACAATTCCATTTAACAGGTTGAAAACGAGTTATTCTTCACTAAATGCTCATTCTACAGTCGCAAAATATACAGCATTTGGAAGAATGTTTGATTAAACACATAAAGGGATGGAACATCAAGTGGAAAATTTAGGTGGGGGAGGGAATTACCACTTATACATGTAAGTGAAAACATAGAGGGACCATCCAGAAAGTTTTGAATACATCCAGCTCCCAGCCCAGTTGGGACGTGTGTAGTGATTCTGTATTACATTCAACTGAAAATGTACTATACTGGAATTTTATCTTTCTTAACATTGTTGCAACTATCATTGAACATTTGAGCCTCTGAGAATGTGTAAGCAGAACTTGTTAAGTGTGCAATGGTGAGCATATTGAGAGGAAGTAAAAAAGTAAAAAGATAATTTTAAAGATGTTAAGGCGAGATTTTCAATAAACAGAAACTGAAAATGCCAGGCTTCTGTCTTGATCACTAATGACCATATTAAAAATGCATATTGTTATATATTTACGATGTAGGTAGAGAGTTTCATGAAAGAATGAAGGCTTTCAAAATCAACAAACATTAAGTTGCATGCGGGACTGAAAACAGGTCATATAATGGACCTTAGCCAGCTCTGAATAATTTGTCATTGTAAATTATTAAAGATTGAAATAAGATTCAAATGCTCTAAGTATCAAGAAATCTTTAGCAACTTTAATGCGTTCTTCAAAATCTGTTTTTCTTGGATTCTTAATTGTAAAGCTAACTCCATATTCAAGGACAGTTGACCATGAAATGGCAAACAGGCATTATCACTCAAGTTGTCAGCTTCCTTGTACAATTCTAAAACTCTTCGAATCAATTGCTGCCTCCATCGTAAAACTGTTCGTTCGATTCCTTCATGTAGATGTTCTCCAGTGAGTGTTCTCTGCCAGTGTTTCCTAAATTCTTCTTCATTCATTGCAAGAATTCTAAGCAAGGTGAACACACTCCATGACAGGCCATTCTCCTCGGAACAACACAAGTCTTTTTCCAGTTGATTAGCTGCAATTATTTCCCTCTTCTTTCTGGAAACACCACTTATCTCTGGCATGACAACTGAGTAAACTAGATCCTGAGAGAAGGTAACAGCATTGTGCAAGTTCTTCGGTAAAATGAAACCATATTCTATCAGCAGTTTTCTGTTGTCATGAGGGCCATAGCTGATGAAAACTTGTTTGCCTTTCTTGTATTCTGTTAAAGTGTGTATTTCATACCTATTGTTTCTTTGGTTGAATCCAGCTCTGACCTACATTATAGAAAATGAGAGAAAAAAAGAAAAAAAGAAATACAAAATATATATAAATAAATGAAATTGTGAATTCCATTTTTATTGTATCACATGAAGGTGTAGTGGCCTCATAGTTAGTATGCTTGCCACTGGATCAAGGAGTCTGGGTTCAAGACCTGGCTGGGGACATTGTGTTGGGTTCTTGGGCAAGACACTTTACTCTCACAGTCCCTCTCTCCACCCAGGTGTATAAATGGGTACCGGCTAATTTAATGATGGGCGATAACCCTGTGATGGACTAGCATCCCATCAAAGGGGGAGTAGAGCTAATACTACTAGTCACATAAGCTACTGAAACTGGAAATAAGAGCCAGCGTGATGGGCCATTTGGCAAATGACCAAAGGAAAATATAAGGCTCAACTGTTCTTCAACTTAGTCAACTCGAGGAATCCCTATTCTTTTATATACCTCGAGACTATAAAAAAAGAGAGAGTTCTTTCTTACTGGGGTCTCCCTGTCTGTCATAGGGAATACCAATCCAATAACACATCTCACGTTTTGCCCTTGCAGATCAACAAAACCAATTTGCCTTAATAATTCTCACTTAATAAACTATCATGCTCTACCTCTTAAAATATCAAAAGTTCTCCTGATATATACCTCTGCTGTGTCAGTATGATTCAGCAAATCAAGCACTGGGGCAAGTGCATAAGCATTCTCTGTCTCTAATGTTCCCATGGCAACTGTTGATGTCACTACATGTACATGTACCTGGCCAGCTTTATACACGGACCTTGTGTTCACAACAAACCAAGCCCATCTGAACTCATCAAATGTCAGGTTGTCTAGAAATGTTTTCTCCAGTATACCGGTGGAGCTTTCAAGCAATCTTTTAAGCTCTTCATAAGATTCATGTACAGTATTGATCTGGGTTATGCACTGTTCGTGTAAACTTGAAGGCAAAGCGTTAAGTTCTTCCTCATTGAAAAAAGCTGGAGTATTAAAAGACCTAGGCAGTGCACTGATATAAGGATGCCAAAATGAGCTTTTTCCTCGATGCTTTTCATATAAAATAAAAACGCATAGCATCAGCAAAGGTTTGAGTGATAGTTTTGCCAACTGCTTTCCAATGTCACTCTGTCTTACTGTTTTTGCAGTGATCAACATTTCTTCTGGTACAGAAATCACTAAATCACCACTGCTAAGCTTCCTGCAAGTCATCAAGCCTCTTCCTGTTGCTGGAAAATAGGCTGGCCGAAGTTTACCAAGAGAAATTCCGTTTCTTTTTGCCCATTTCAGAAGCGTGATACACTCGGCTTCATTGACTGTTCTACCATGTTCGCTGCAACAGATGCCGTTTCTCTTACGCTTACGTCTCCTACCCGTTCTACCTGATTTTGCCATCGATGAAATTGATGAAGAAGACTTCAAATATCTTACATAAATCGCAAAATTAACTTTTGAAGTGGAACTCACCATTTGTCCACCATGTTGAAATTTTCAGTCCGGAGTCTGGGTACCAAAAAATATCTTCCACGATGCATTGCAAGCCTCATGTTCAAACCAAAATAAATCATGGCGGCTAGTTTCCGCCTCTGTTCTGTTTAGATCTTTTAAAGTTTAATACCAACGAGGGTTTGTAAAGCCAAGTATGTCCATCGATATTCAGAAGTGGAAGGCAGAGGCTCATGAAAATGCTGCAAAGACTGTGGCGAATATGCTTCAGGTAAGTGAAAAGATTCTACAGAGCTGTGACAGTCGATCTTCTACATGCTACAGTACATGCCTTTTTGGCTGCAGTCAGTCATAATTACAATGACAACCAAGAACTTCGAAAAAGAAGAAACATACAAATTGGATCAAATCTACCAATTACAACTCACGTAGGTGAACTTTTTGAACCCACAATTTCCTGAGAGGTCGACTAATTAGTGTATGAAACTGATTGCAGCGAAACACGAAAACACTGATTGAGCAGAGTTTACATGTTATTGAAAGGTGCAGCTGATGGATTGTGGCAGTCATAGCCAGCATGTGTAGCTGGAAATAAGAATGACCATCCTTTGTCATCAATACATGTACAGCTGTACCGTATGGTCAGGATGTACACTGTATAGTTCTTACCGAAGAATAACTTGACACAATGAAAATTCTTGGATTCTCATTCATTTTGTTTGTACTAAAACTATCAGCTGGTAGGTATACTGGGTTTTGTACACTGTAAATCCGTTTAATGGGCTCCTGCAAACAGCTCCACCCCGCTTAAGTTTACAGCTCACTGAAATGATAGGAAAGATAATGCTGAGGAGTGGTGTCATCATGGCTAAATAAATGTACTGTTGACTTTCTCAGCATCCTGACAGTCTGGATAAAGTGGAGCAATGGAGACGAAGATACATGAGGAATAAAGTTAGTTCTAAGTCTGCCTCAATTTCTATGAGTACTTAATCAAATGTAGAGGTGTGGCGGCTTATTGGTTAGCTCGCTGGACTCCATGTCCAGGGCCATTGCACTGTGTCCTGTCCTTCCCCTGCCCTCTCTCCCCCTCGCCCATTTTTTAACCTTACGGCTACTCCCTTGGCAAATTTTCTCTTGTTCCAACCCTCCACTGGTACCAAATCCAAGATGGCGGCCTAATACGAAGATGTGCACTTGCATGGCCAAAATGCACCTGAGTTGCAGGCTAGAGTGTTACTGGAACAGGCTGGTGTAGTATGGATGGGAACTAACTTAGGCATTCTCTCTGTTGTGTTTCCTGTTGGCTATGCTGTAGTAGTACATGTACTTTTGAGCAATACTGTGTTATTGATATTACTTTTAAGTCTAAACTAAAAAGCTAAATCCACTTTGCGCTATTGATAGAAAGAAGTAAATAATGAACAGCAGACAGTGATACTGTATTGTTGATTACAGGCATCAGCTGAAGCAAGGCTAAAGACTGCTGTTCAGTCCCAACTAGATGGTGTGAGGACAGGACTTCATCAGCTCGTTAGGTGAGACACGTGAACTGTACTAACTGTCAACTAAAGATATACAGTATATCTATTTAGTATAAACCTACTAGCGCTCGATCATGAATGCCGTTTTCTGATTGGCTACGTAACTCACTTTCTATTCTGTTGTAGATAGTAAGTAGCCTAGCTAGCAGTGTGCAGTTGTTATCAAAGTGATGGTGGATTCTTTGGGTTTTTGAAGTGTCTATGAAGAGGATTAAGTTTTGAACGACTAGTAGATTTATATGAAAACAATTAGATTATTTGCTCTCGATTTCTATGTGTGATAGTTGTAGTCTTTGGACAATTTTGCAACTAGTGCTTGTTTATTCCAAGTTGCATAAGAATAATCATATTGAAAATTAGTCTCTAAGGCCTGAATCTAAGTGTGTATTCCTTTGGGGTGATCTGGATCAGGATCAGTGATCCAAGATCTGTCTGGATCATGGTGCATCAAAGGAACCGATGAATCCACTTGGGTCATGGATTCATCAGTTCCTTCGATGCACCATGATCCAGACAGATCTTGGATCGCTGATCCTGATCCAGATCACCCCAAAGGAATGCACCCTAAATTGTAAATGCTAAATTGTATTGGTTAAAACATGCTAGACTGCATTTTGTATTATTCATATCTTAGTGTAGATATTTTAGTCTTCTCAATTTGTTATTTTGTGTTAGTCTGTGCCCCCTTATTAGTATTGCTTTCTCCCAGGCTACATGGTTCGACACTTAAGTAAAGTTTTAGAATAAAATAATTATAAATTATTATTATTACTATTGTTATTGTTGTTGTTGTTGTTGCTGTTGTTTTTGTTATTGTTATTATTATTATAAAATTATGTGATATCCTGACAATGCTGCAAAAGTCTTCACCAATCTTCGGGTGATCTCCAACAGTTGTCAGATGATCTTCGTGACTCAGTAGGAAATCTTTGGAAAGGTTCATGACTGTCAGAGGTGCTCGACGGGTAACATTTGTGAGCCTTTGGAAGGGTTCAGGCAATTTTCGAAAGTGTTTGGAAACCTTCTGAGGTATCTTCAGCTGTCAGGTGAACTTGGATCACCTTTGAAACATCTTGGATGAGTGGTGGTAGTCTTTGTTGTAATTTGCCATGGTGTTACACTTTTTTGCTTGTATTATGTATACTTGAACTGCAAGTTGCTCTTAGCCAATCACAACTGAGTAATTTTGAGTAAAGGGTATTATCAGAATGTAACCTTGGTCAGTTACTTATTCAGTAGGATACTCACTGTCAACTTATTGCGTGAATCATTATATTAAATTTAAAAGCTTTTTCTTTACATCATGGTATCATTTATATCTTTTTTATCTATTTGTTAGAATTAATATTTATTTAATATTTATTTGTTTGTTTTCATTTTTCTCTTCTAGTGGCCTTCAGGAAATCAAAGAGATTAAACAAAGGTAACAAATTAGCAGTCATTATTATTTGATGTGTACATTAGCCAGACATACATGCATTGTGGTTCAGTTTTACCCTTGGTGTACACATGCAACTTGGTATTTTCTTTTGTTTTGATGTGTGGTACATATAACATATCATAATGTATATGAAACAAAAGAAAATGCTAAATTGTATTGGGTAATATGAAACCTTATAATCCATCAAACATTTTCGCTCACACGTGTTTCGTCGAAACGTGTCATGTGACTGAATATTCCCCAACCAAAACTGGGGAATATCCAAGGATTTAAATTTTCACAATTTTCAAAACTGCCTATGTTGTGAAAAAATGTTTGAAGGATAATAAACACAATAGCCTCCATTTAGCATGAGAATATGCTCCGATAATTGTCCTTGGACATTATCTGTTCCTTAAAGCTCACAGTTTTCCTCAAGCAACACTCTTGCAGGGCTCGAAATTAACTTTTTCGTTCGAGAGCCAGCTGGCGACTAACAGAAAAATTTTGGTCGCCAGATCGTAAATTTTGGTCGCCAACTTATTTTATAAATAACTTACACAAGAACACGATTTT